TGCCAGTTATTTTGGCACTATGTATAATAATATTGTTCCTTTACCAGCACATACATAAATGGTTCATTATATTTACTGATGTAGTTCTCTCTTTTTTTTTTTTTTTTAAACAGCATAACTTTACCATACAAAAAACATCAGGCTCTTTTTATGTAGACTGTCAAATCGTTAAATCAAACTTAAGTGTACCTCAATTTACTTTGAATCTATAATATTTTAAACATTCACATTAACATATGCATCCATTTTTAAAAAAGTTTTTTTTAATTTATGCTTTATTAAATTGAGATTAAAATTTTAAAAAAAAACAAAGAATGACATATTCTTTTTAGAAAGTTCATATTTGTTATTTGTGAATCTATCTTTTTACTGCTTGATAATAAAAAAAAAGTTGAATGTTGTGAATAAAACTTTTAAACTGTGAATATCTGAGCCTGCTTACCTAGGCGTTATATTATTGTTATGGTTGTTGATAAATAATAGATGTTGCCGATTTACTTCAATGATGATTATGATGACGGGGGTGAAGATGAATGTGATGGTGACAGTTATCGTTTTTTTTTTTTTTTTAATAAATGATATAAAGACAATGTTTGATAATTAACATATCCAACAATTTTCTTCTTCACATTATTATTATTATTACAATAATTATTAACATTATTATTTATTTCACAGTATGAGTAATTAATGTTAGATAATTGAATTTGTTTATGTAACTGCCTGCCTCTGGCATATGCAAATGAGACAAGTTCAATTCTGGTTTATCATAATCAGTTATCTGTGCCCTCTCATTTGAATATGACCAGGAGGAAGAGCATGAAAATGTAAGGTTGGTGCACCATGCCAGACTGTATTAAAAAAAAAAAAAAGAAATTATTTCAAGTTTTACTTTTTTTTATTTTGATTCATGTTTAGTGAATCATTGTGTGTTCTGTTTCTATTCATGTTAAGTGTATCATTGTTGTTTGTTCTATTTCTATTCATATAAAAAAATAAAAACTATAACCCACCTTATGCATAAGAGGTGCTATAAGTTAATTAAGGTCATGCTAAGTTAGGCCACAAATTTAAAAATAACAAAAACATTTAATATACAAATGAGACAAGTTCAATTCTGGTTTATCATAATCAGTTATCTTTTCCCTCTCATTTGAATATGACCAGGAGGAAGAGCATGAAAATGTAAGGTTGGTGCACCATGCCAGACTGTATTAAAAAAAAAAAAAGAAATTATTTCAAGTTTTACTTTTTTTTATTTTGATTCATGTTTAGTGAATCATTGTGTGTTCTGTTTCTATTCATGTTAAGTGTATCATTGTTGTGTGTTCTATTTCTATTCATATAAAAAAATAAAAACTATAACCCACCTTATGCATAAGAGGTGCTATAAGTTAATTAAGGTCATGCTAAGTTAGGCCACAAATTTAAAAATAACAAAAACATTTTGATAGATATATTTAAATTTCACAAAGAGAGATTCATACTTTTCAAGTTTTTATGCTAAAAAGAGTGAAACTTCAGGACATGACATGCTTTGGTAGGAGTCTTAGGTTTGTAATAAAAATTACAATATGTTTTCTTTTATACTTTCTAAATCTACCAACACCTATCAATTATAAAGAAGTGAGGGCTGAGCCTTGGGTCTGGATGCTAAAAACGTGAAATTTCAAAATATTGTTCACTTCCAAATTAAATTATTTCTAATGAAAATGTTACCAGTTCATGATAATATAGGTCAACCCTGTAACTGTAAGATATCTGGTACTGAACTCTTCTTTTTTAAAAAATAAGCACTCAAGCAAAATGAAAGTTCTTAAAACAGAAAGCCCAGGAAAAAGAATGGCACTGAAAATGAGTATATTGAAATTTTGAGAAGACTGAAATAATACTTTATACAAACGGTAAAACCCCTCCATACAGGTAACAGATTTCAAATTTAAAAAAAATATGTGTCAATTTTCAGCATTGTCCATTTAAAAGGAAAATTCAATACTGTTTGCATAATTTAAAAAAAAATGTTTAAAAGAATATTTCTCACATGTTACTATGAAACAAGGTATGTTTACACTGGAGATTTGTTACAGAGATTCTCAGATTTATTAGATGTGCTGCTGGATGTAACAAAAACAGAGCCAACAAGTTTCATTTTAACTGGTTTGTTGAGAGTTGTAATATAGTGTCCTCATATTTTTATCATTGTTCATGCGTTATCAATTGAAAGGGCAAGTTAACAAATATAATTTATAGTCATATTCAATAGTTAATAGCCCCTCCCGTGGGCATATTTTGTAGCTCAAAGATTAAAATTTATTAAATAAATTTAAATTTAATTTTATTGGCGTGGGTAAGAAAGATATGAGGAACAATGTCTTTTTTTTTCAAGTTCTTCCCCTGCACAGGCGGTTATTGGTACAGTCATATTTAATAGAAAAAAGTTTATTCATTTAAAATGCCATATGTTCCGGCTCAGAGTGAACACTTATGTGGGATGTCTATGTCAGTGTATTCTCAAAATGTGGCTGAAACAAATCTGCAGTGTGAATGTACCTTTAGACATACACCATCAACAGACTCATACATCAAATAAGCATACAGTAATAAATATATTTAATGAAGTTGATAGGAGTAAATTCTAACAAACACCCCTCCCCTTTTTTTTGTTTTGAAAGTGTACCTATTCATGCAAAGCACAGAAAAGGCATTTCATCCTTAACAATTTTCTTTCTTTGGAAAATGTTATCATTTCATAAACTAATTAATCAATTCTGTGATATTTAAATAATGATGGGGGGGGGGTGTAATAGATATTTGGTTTTTTGAGCAATCTGAAAAAATTAAAAAAACAAACTGGTTTTGAGAGTTTAGAAAATATTTCTTTGGAAAATGTTATCATTTCATAAACTAATTAATCAATTCTGTGATATTTAAATAATGATGGGGGGGTGGGGGTGTAATAGATATTTGCTTGTTTGAGCAATCTGAAAAAATTAAAAAACCAAACTGGTTTTGAGAGTTTAGAAAATTTGAAGATTCCATGTCTTTCTCTATACCTAAAGCTCTTCTGATGAAAAATTAACAAGAAATTAACCATACTTGCCTTTTAAAACCAGTGTGTTTCTTTTTTTATTCTTAAGATCATACTCCTAAGCATACAAAACCAGACACTTTAAAAACACAAACCAAAAAAGTTGAAAGCAGTATTTTCATGTTGGATTAAATAAATGATTAAAAAAGAAAATTAAAAATACTTAACACACATTCCATAGTGTATAGTAAGAACAGAAAAGTCTTGAACACAAAACTTAATTATGGTTAAGTTAAAGCATGGTATTGAATTGAGTGATTTTTTTAATGAAAGCATATATTAGTATTAAATGAAAGTTGAGTTAACCATACCATTTGTTTCCATTGCTAAATGAGCTAACTTGCAACTCTATTTCCTTAACTCTTGTCTCTTAAATACATTTTAAATATGTACAAATATTATGCTCCCTAATCATTGCATAAAGGGAGTATTAAGAGAAAAATATAGAAATCCATAAATAAATTGTTATCCCATAATTACAAATATTATGCTCCCCAATCAATGCATAGAGGGAGTATTAAGAGAAAAATCTAGAAATTCATAAATAAATTTATAACTCATTATTACAGTATTTATCCACAAAAAAAAACAAAAATACTGCTTAGGATATTTACCAAGTCACAAAATGTTTATCCCATTCAAAATATTTATATTTGAGAAGGAAAATGAGATAGTGATCCGAACGGATGCGATCGATATCGCTACAGGGGGTTGCTTAATGCAGGAATGGCATGGTCTGCTTCACCCTATAGCTTATGCGAGTAGAAAACTGCTACCTTGCGAGTATTATACAGTATGCTAGATGTATTATATGGTAATGTAGTTGTATTTTATGCATGAATGAGCAGGCAAAATGTGTACATCACAAATTTAAAATGCCCTGTAACTAACACGAGCTTAAAACAAACATACACACAATTTTTTTTAAAACTGACTTTTTTTTTTTTTTTTTAAAGTTAAACAACATTAATACTGCAGATATGTCAGCATTAAAACAGATCCATGTAAAGGAAACAATAAGACAGTACTTTACACTTCAGTTTCTCTTACTAAATAATAGATGCATTGGCATAATTTATTTGAGCTTCTTTACTGAAAATAAATGAATGTGAGATCTCACTGCTTGGGCATGTAACAATTCAACACTGATTTTTTTAAAGATCTATACAAAAAAAAAGCACAAAATATTAAATTGTAGGGAAGCAATGGCGTTGTATGGACACAGTTTAAAATTAGTTTTAGTGACAGATTACAACAATGATACAAAGTTACAGAGGCTTCCATGAAATGACACAGTGCTCTTTAAACAGTAGATAAATGAAGGCTTTCAGTTGCTTTGTACCATAACATGGTGCTTAATAAACTAAAACAAGGGTAAACATGATAATAAATGTCAAACACAGTAACGCCACTTTCAGCTCACAATGTAGAAAATATAATCTGTTCGAGAAAATTGATTCATGGGCTTGTAGAGACACAGTTCTGAGATAGCCCTAAAACAATTTATATATGTAACAAGTAGGAGTAAATCTACAGTGATCCCAAAAACTTGAGATACTCATTTGAACCAAGCATAAATTTTAAGATCATTAATTCACTATATAATATACTTTAATTTATATATGGTTTTATTGTTTAAAATCCTTCATCATATTAAAAAAAAAAATTTGATAAAGTATTAACTATGTAGGCTCTTGTTCTGATGATATTAAAAGCCATTATATTCATTGTGTAGTCTTATGTGATAAACATACCCATTATGTCTCTGTCGTAATAAGCAGTCCTTGTAACAGAAAACTTTAATGCCGTCAGAACCATATGAAATTTTTTTTTTAAATTCCATGCATTTCTTCCATGCTGATTTTTAAAAAAAAAATATTTAACACTTCATCAAAGAGAGGAAAACATTTCTGCATGCAACTTGAAGTCTATAAAAAGAAAAGGATAACCTCATTATATTTTGGCTCTAGCAAAATCAATTAAAGCTGTTTTGGTCAATCTTTTATATTTAATTAAAAATATAATGCACACCTTGCTTGAGCAATACTGTAAAAAACATGGTACTGGTAGTAAAATATATTTTTTCAATTTTTTTAATTTATTTTTTTTGTAACGAGGGGATCTGAGGTGTAAAAGTAAAAGTAAAACAAAAAAAGAATTATCGGTAAAAACATAGTTCCATCTAACTGCAATCCATATAAATGGCAATGGTGTATTTCAGTCAAATAATATGGAAATAAATAATTTTAGTTTACAATTTTATCTCACCATGATAAATGACATTTTACTAATAATGCACTTTAGGAGTAGGCAAACTTCGTTGAAGTGATTATCACATGATTTTGACATTCTCATTGCATCCCCATTAACATAATGCCCTTCTTTCAGAGAGGAAATAGTAACATAGAGAGTGCCAACATTTCTAGTCAACAATAATCAGGCAAATGTACACAAGATTTTTATGCTGTAAGGCTTATAAATAAGTGTCCTTTTTAGTGTTATTAAGTAAAAATAATAAAGATATAATTTAAAAATTTCATTTTCTTTTATATTTATTCTAATATTTAGAATAAATAGATTGTTCTTTAGTCTTACATGATAGAAAAACAAATCCAAAGGATGAAGATTGATGAACTTAAAACTTTTAAATACTAAATAAATAAATAGTTTCAATAGTTCAAATAAGAAATTATTTCATTAAATTCTTGACCAATAAATTTTACCATGAATTAATACAAGCCATTAAAAGGTTGCATCCAAAAAAAAACAAAACAAAATTTCAAATCAAACTCTAAAACAAAGTTCCTATTTTTCCATCATCAACTACTTCCTTTTCGAGTATTTTTTGCTGCCAGACTGCCGCTTCATCTCCTTTGCCTTAGCAGTTTCATTCATGTACTGACGATAAAGGTAGTAACAGACATACCCCACAAAGGCAGGGGCAGCCAACAATTTTAACAGCTGGAAGTACTCCTCCGGGTTGGTCAGCATGCTTAAGCCTGTTTTTTTAACCAGCTGAACCAGATGAACTTGAAACATGAGAGTGGCATCAGCTGTAGAGCAGGATAACATTTTTTTTTTTCTTTTTGAAATTATTTTAAAATAAGTGAAATGTCTCACAAAATTTTTAGGCAAACAATATCTTATTCCAGTGTTAGATCAGCTTACTTACTAAACTACTGTTAAAAGTGTCGTCTTGAGTTTAAGAGCTGCTAATTTCAATTTGACTTACGCGGTATGACTGGAGGAAATCCTGCTGAACCATAGGCAAGAGATGGGGGGACAACAAGGCGGCGCCTCTCACTGAAATACAATGTCTTGATGTCTTTCATTTGAATAGCTTTTTGCATGCCCCCTTATTTGTTTTAAATAAAGGATGATCAAATTATTCAAGGCCTATCTTATAAAAGAGTTATAAGACTGAAAGCTAATCATTATAATTGTTTCAAGCAATTCTTATTAGATGGTGTGATGATTATAATTGGCTTAAAATTATGCTGGAACAAAAAAAATTTTTTTATATATATTAAATCTGTTGCCAGTTTTTTTAATCGATATAATAAACCAACCTCTAAAAATAAAGTTTTCACATAAATCCTTTTTATAACCAAACACATCACAAATACTAAGCACATAGCAACAGATACACAATAAATTTGCACATCAAAACATGCACTCATTGAAAAAAAATCATCCCTACACACTTGAAAAACGGGAAAACTGATTTTTGGGGATTGGGGGTGGGGCTAAAAATTTGAAAACATGTGTTGTCATCAGCAAAGAGTGTAAGTGCCACGTTTCAGCTTGATAGGATGACGTGAAGTGGGTCATTTAGCCTTCAGAAGATATTTCTGCCACAAAGTAATACATGAACAAAAGCGAAGTTGATATAAAGGAAATAAAAAAAATAAGTAAAAGTTACCCTTGACACATGCCCTGCATTCCTTGCTCCCAGCCTGTGAGTGAAAGCATAAGAAAGTAGCATAGATTACACATTTAGAATTTTTAACAGTTCGTAAATTAATCTTTAAAATTTAATATATGTTTTATGTAATCATAACCATTTTTATGCTATGGTATTATGGAAAAATATTTTTTGGTCCATAAATGCACTCCCGCAAAACAGAGGAAAATCCAGATTATTTAAGCTACACTTAAACTTAATCAAGGCACATCTATCTTTTTCTTAAACATCTCCTATTTGATGCAATCAGAAAATAAATTAAGTTATCCTACTTGAAAAGATTCAAAAGCAATTATTTTACCAGGTATAACTTGACCACTGCCTAGCTTGAAGGAGATGGGATTCTTTTCACCCTGTTCTGATGTATCAAATACTTTACCATTGTCAAGATAGCCCTTAAAACAGAGAACGATTGTTACTGAATCAGCTGATAAAATAAACAGCCAACCCAATATAATATGCAGTTAAACCTTGCTACTACAACATTATAATTTGGGGTTCATAATATGGGATTGCATTAATAGTGGGGAAAAATTTAAAAATTCAAATGCTTGAAGCTATTAACAATAAAAAAAAAATTTAAACTGCTATATTTGACATTCTAATGATAATGGTATTAATATTAAAAAAAATCTAATTTTCATACTGTGTAATGAACGTATAATTCATCTCCAACTTCTGATAATATGTTGCAATCATCAGGCTTGTGCTAAAATGTAAAAAAAAAAGAAATAATAATTAATCATTTATTGCAATAATTCCGCTTAAATACCCAATTTAATCAGACAGGAATGATTTTTAAAACAACATATAAAAAAAATAATAAAAATTGGTACAGAAATATCAGCAGGACTTATACTAGTTATACTTACTTATGCCTTTCTACCCTGTCTGAGGCATAGGACGTCTATAATAATTTTCCTCTCATCACGATCCTGTGCTTTCCTTTCCAATTGCTTCCAGGTGTATACCATATTTTGCGTGTCTGCTTCTAGCTCGCGTCTCCATGTATTCTTAGGATCTTCCTCTCTTTCTTTTTCCCTGTGGGTTCCATGTTAGGCATTGTCTGGTGGTGCTATCTGGGGGTTTTCGGAGCACATGGCCTATCCACCTCCACCTGTTCTTTATGATATCTTCATCAATGGGCACGTGGTATGTCCTTTCTAGTAGATCTTTGTTGGTAATAGTTTTGGCCATTTGATTTTCAGGATCTTTCTTAGGCATGTGTTAATGAATGTCTGAACTTTCTGCATAAAGCTCACTGTTGTTTTCCAAGTTTCTGCACCATATAGTAGGACTTTTTTGACATTTGTATTAAAGATTCTGACTTTGGTTTGCAGTTTCAGCTCCTTCGACTCCCATATTTTCTTTAATACCGTAGCACAAATGCTGATCTAGCTTTTCCAATTATGCCCCTTACATCCGCATCGGATCCGCAATTTGTGTCTATGGTGCTGCCTAATTAATTGAAGGTCTCAACTTCTTCCAGTGCCTTTCCTGCCAGACAAATATGTTCTTGGTTGGATGAGATTACCTTCATGATTTTTGTCTTGCTTTTATTTATATTGAGTCCAAGCTGTGCTGAAATGGTGGCTACGTCTTTTGTCTTTTCCTGCATTTGTTGCTGGTTGTGGGACAGAAGTGCAATGTCGTCTGCAAAGTCTAAATCATTCAGTTGTTCCCAGAGTGTCCACTGCATCCCATTCCTCTTTTTGTCTGTGGATTTTTTCATTATCCAGTCAATGGCAAGGATGAATAGAAATGGGGACAAGAGGCATCTTTGTCTGACTCCTGTTTTGACTGTAAAGGAATCTGTGAGTCTACATTCGTGGACCAACCTGCATGTCAATTTTTCATAAGAGCTCTGAATGATCCTGACTAATTTCCCTGGTACTCCATAGTGCCGAAGAAGTTTCCACAAGGTTTGTAGGTTCAGGCTATCTAAGGCCTTTTTGTAGTCTATAAAATATATATATAGGGGGAGTTCCATTCGATGGACTGTTCTACAATGATTCTTTCCAGCAGGAATTATGCTATACAGATTTTTTACTTTAATAGTGTAAATCTTAATAATTAAATGACTTCTTTTGCAGACTTTGAGAACACATTCTGTGTCATTAATTGAATTGTATAAAGTTAAAATTTAGGTAGTTAATCTATTCAATTGTCTGTTAATGAAAATAATTATAATAATCAATATAATAAATATTAAAATAAAATGTATTCATATACAAAATATTTAAGTTAATTTTAAATTGATTTCTTCAAGTACAAGTCCTGATCTTTTGCCTGCACATAGCCATAACCAACTAAACTTGCAACTCAACCGCACAGCACCAGACTGAATACCAACATCAGCCCTTAAGGACATGTGTTTCAATTACCACAATTGCCAGACTACAGTAACACCATATAATCTATAGCATATTATTATACATGCAGACAAAGACCAACAGAGGAAGTCCTGCAAATTGCATCCAATTTAGGGGCAAGCTATAAAGGAGGTCATGTGTCAGTTGAGGGTAGATGGTCAAAAATCAGCCAAAATAGTGCAACATCATTTAAGGGTGACCGCTTTTATCACTTTCTGCAAATATATATGCAGAGTTGTGGCATGCAAAAGCTGTGCCAGGGGCAAAGCCTGAATTATGGCACAATACATTTAAAACATTTAATATTAACACAAATATTTAAATTTTACATGAAAATTGACAATATCAATCACCCCTGAAGTTGGAACCCATGGCGGGTTCATGGGTTCCCCCTTTGTTACCCCCCACCCCCTCCCACCCATTTTTAAAAAAAAATTAAGGACCACCTTGAACATTACAACTCTAGCTGCTCCACTGAAAATATGTTAAAGATGTAACCATTTTCTGATTGTGTAGGCTATCTTAACTCTACTACTGTACTGTTGTAGTCAGAGTAGAAGAGTAGTCTGTAGAATGGAGTCCGTGACAGGAAACATTAGGCAGTGGCGTAGGGAGAGGTTGTGGAAGGGGGAAGTCCATTTGTGGAGGAGAGACATCATTTGGCCAACTGCAGAGTTTTCTTCATGGAATGGGGACAGCAAAAATCTTGACACACCACCCCCCTACCTTGGGCAGCACTAACCTTAGCTATGCCACTAGCTGTCTACAGACCATAGGCCTAGCTTTATTTTATATAAATATTATTATAATACAAGTTGGCTCTCTGACTATCACTATTTAGATTACAAATTACAACAATTTTATTAAAGTTAATATTAGGCCTGATATAACTATACTAGCACTCAATCAAATATTGCAAAACATCGAAATAGTTTTATTAGGCCAGCTATTTGACATTTGATATTTATATAAAAATAAGTAACATACGTTTTTTTAAAGTAAAGTATATTTCTAAATAGTAAAATGTAGGCTAATAGTACTAATAGTTTATTTTATAATTTATAGTAGGCTATAAGTAGAAGTAGGCATACCCTACACTACAGTCAGTAGGCCTACAGTACACTACACTGTCTACAGTCTACAGTAGGCTACGTAGGCCTAGTTTGAATTAGTATGATAAGTGTATAAGGTTCTAATAATTTATATTACGCTTTACACATACCACAACTCGAGTTACCAACTGCTTTTGCTTGAGTTTGTCAATATATTCCTTACTATCTGGATTATCACCGTCGGTTGTACCGGCATTTTTCTTTTTCTTTTCTCCTGTCTGTTGTGCACTGGTCGAGCATAGAAAAAGTATCAACACAATGGCGATGGGTAAAATAGGTGAAATGGTAATATGCCTATTACATAATGATAATAATTGCATTTTCGCAATATCTTTTTAATTTAATCGAAGCTGGTTATTTCTTCAAAAGTCAACTAGTCCAATCATAGAACTCATCATTATCACTGAGAGTGTGCCGGCTACATCGGAAAGTTACAACGTCAACAATGATGTCAAAGTTCATTTCGGGTTCATTCCCTTGTATTAATAATGGGTGGAAAGTTCACACAAACTTAAGCTTAAGTAGGCTACTTAACTTCATAATTAGCGAGCCTATATATTTAATCTTATCTGAATTATTTAACAGCGAAACACATACGAGGGGAATTAATGTATTAATATAAAATATACTTTATAGGCTACTAATAATTAATAAGTCGTATTACTGATATTTGGGTGAGCAGTGCCAGTAGTGTAGGATTCGCCTGATTCGGGTCCACCACGAGCGAAACTTTTTTTATTTTTTTTATTTTTATGAAGGGGCCATATTTTCGGCCAACTGTGGTGTTTTTATCGTGGACAAAATCTTCATGTCCTATCTTTTCTTTTCAAGCCTAAATATATCTTGTTCCACTATTTATTCACTAACCCTAGCTACGCTTATGGGATGTGCCTCCCGGGGAAAGCCAAGCGCCCCTCGGATCAAAAATAAGTCCAACAATAAATCAACTGGAACTGCTGGCACTGCCCCTCCCCCGAAAAAGCTGAAGTGCCCCACCCCCCCGTGCCCCGAAAATCTGAAGTGCCTCCCCGGGGGAAA